ATCTCCTGGAATCGACAAACACGATACCTGGGCGTGACGATGGACCAGCGTCTCACGTGGAAACCGCACATCGTGGAGACGGTGGCGCGAGCGAAGACCACCAGGGCTAGGCTCTATCCCTTACTCAAAGGTGGAAACACCCTCAGTTTAAGGAATAAGCGAACGCTTATCAAGGTGGTACTTCAACCGCAGCTAACCTACGCCTCCACGGCGTGGGGTCACGCGGCAAAAAGCCACTTAAAGTCATTACAGGCTGTGGAAAACATAGCCCTCCGCACGGCCACCGACGCGCCCTGGTACGTAAGAAACACTGACATATTACGAGACTTACAATACACAAACGCTACACAGACAATAAGACAAAACGCGGAGAAACGGTTTGACGTAGCCGCTAGACTGACAATCCCCTCCTCAGGCAAGCCGTTGACTACGTACCCGACGTGACCGATAAACATAAAAGACCTAGACACCAACTTTTTGACCCTGGGTGACCACCCCAACGACATCCCCCCTGCCCTCTAAAAAAATTGTTTTGTTTGAATATTCAGTTATTCTAATTGTTTACAAGTACAAAAATTCGACCAATGTTTAAACAAGCTCCAGAAGTCTCCTAATTGACGGATTCGAATTTTTCAAAAAGAGTTTGAAAGCTTGAGAGCCCTTCTATATGTGATTAAATTTTCAAGTGTCTAAGTACCTTGGTTTTTGCTGTGCAAATATTTGAAAATTTGCAAATCTTTTCAAAATCTGGAATGCAAAATCTATAGAACCGGTTTTGATGAAATTTGGTGTGATGATTCTACATAACATGAACTTTTCTTGAGCCAAGTATGATGTTTTTTAACCCCATTTTTGGCGATTTTTTCGATTTTTACAATAATGAATCATGAATCATTCGATTTGTAGCTAGTCATAATTTGTAAAATTTAATTACAAACATTTTTTCTGCTTCCATTTTCGCCTAAAATCAACTCTTGAAAAGATGCGTAATTAAATAGGAAGAAACATATGACAGTTTTCGAATTTCTTTAACATATTGTGCCGCCAAAAGTTAAGCCCACGTTATTTTTTATGCGCATAGAAAAATTTTCATTTTTAGTGATATTTTAAAGTCAAAAATCTCCGTGGATA